TTCGAAAAATTAATTTAATATATTGATGAGACGCATCTGAGGTGGTTTAAATTTGAGTATCTGAACATTGGTATCAGTAATAATGAAATAATATTTATTGTTTAAAAACTAATCTGAAAATTTGGTAATAACATTATTACTTTCGCTACTTGACTTTTGTTTATTTACGAAAAATAATTGAACAGTATTTATTGATAAATTTAATTAATTTGAACTATAAATTATGAAATGGTTTGAAATTCTTTGGTTAAATATCTGTACGAAATTTTGTAAGCATGTAATTTAATGTATTTATGTATCTAGTTTAAACAACGATAAAAAAAAAAAAAATAATACGTTTAAAGTTGTACAAGTTGCACGTGTACCAACATGTACACCCACACATACATATATACACGCACGTAACGTTCCCTTTTGCGAGTCGAATGAAAAAAAATAAAAAATGAAAAAAAGGAAAATGAATAATAAAACAATGGTAAGATGAAGACTCTAAAGGAGAAATATAAAACGTTAGAAAAACTCACTCGTCAAGACCTCGCGCGACCCCCGCTGAGGAGTCCAAGAGGCCCCTTGAGATCGATCTTTACCCTCTACGAGGAGGCCCGTTTCTTCCCTTTTTCTTTTTCTTATTTTTTTTCTTTTTAAATATTCCTTTTTTTCTTTTCAACTTCCCATGTCTTCACAACCGTCGGCGGTTCATCACCATCGGGGTCCACTAAACCATACGGGGACCCATTGATGTAGGTCTTATACCCCCTCGAAAACGTTCTCATTCGGGAATATTTCGTGTGAATTCGAAAACACTTATGTGTTTTTCTACCTTCCTTTTTTTTTCTCTCTCTCTCTCTTTCCCTCACCCAGATTTTCATTTTTTTGTTCATTTGCCTTTTCAGTCGAATTCTCAAACGAATGATTTTTAATGGAATTTCAATTGGGAAATGAAATTTTGATAATTATATTTATGCGTATGTATGTATGTACCCTTTAATTTATTTTAAAATCGAATTAGCACGATAATTATCCTTATCTATTTTTCTTCTGTAATATATTTTTTGTCGTTTTTTTTTTCTTGACTTAAATTGCCATAGAAAAAATTAGCATGAATTATTTTTTTTTAAGATAATTTTATTCTTTTTTCTTCCAGTATTATATGTAATAATAATATTTTTATTCGATCACATTCGTATTGTTATTTTTTTTTTTCCAAAAATGTAGAATTTTATTTCGTTTTTTTTTTTCTTTTCTTTTTTTTTACTACCAAGTAGGAAAATCGTATCAATTTTCTACGAAAATGAGAGGAAACGCATTAAGATACGCATCCAATTACTATGCCATTCCTTTTTTTCTTCCTCTCGACTTCTTTGTTCTATTTTTTTTTCTCTTTTTTTCTTTTTTTTTTTGTTTTCTTTTCTTATTTTCCTTTCGGAACCCTGCAGATTTTGTCAACTATTTGACCTTTTTCGACGAAAGATTAATTATTTTACTCGGATTTAACCGCCTGACTATAATATTAATGCCAATTCCTTCGAAATTCGATACTTTTCGTAATAGTTAAAACTTTCCTTTTATAAGTTAAAGGAAAATTTTAACTCAAGTAAAACGAGCCATAGATTTTATACAAAAAAAAAGAAATATTTTAATATTATAATTTTAAATACTCTTCATTCACGACCACCATTAATGAATTTTTATCGAAAAAAACAAAAAAAAGAACCCAATGAAAACTCTGTGAAGAATAATAACGCGCCATTTTGATTTCCGTTCTCCACCTTGATTGATGCTCCAATCCGATGGTTTGTAACAGTAGACGTAACTGATTGGTCATCGCTATACAGGTAGAAAATAAGTCACGCCCAGTACTCGTGAATTCTGATATTTGATTGGTCTCTGCAAATATTTCGCAAGATGGACATTTCGAAAATAAAAAATAGACGTGAAAATACTGTTATACCTGTAGCCCACCAATAATATTAACACTAAAAATTATTATTAAATAAATAACAAATAAAATTACTATAATTGAAATAACCAATAATAATAATATAATATATATAATATTAATAAAAATAAATTTAAAAATATAAATCGCATAAGAATTGTCATACATATAATAATGATAATAATTCATAATAATCTATGGAAATAGGAAAAAATAGGAGAAGAAAAATTTGAAAAAAGAAGTAAAAACATATTAATACAAAGGTGTAACACTGATGGTTACACTTGCATTCGCATGCATAACTCAAACACCAATCCCTCTTGCTTCCCTCCCCCCGTCCTCCTCCTCTTCTCCGTCTAACCTTTTGACAGGCTAGACCGGCTGTACCGTTTCGTTAACATTGAAACAGCTGTTCCACGCTATCTTGTTAGCTTAAGTGGACTTCAAACCATTAAGAAACGACAGAACATATATATATATATATATACATACACTCATATACATATAAATATAGTTATTTCAATTTTTGTGAGAGTACGAATCGAATCAAATTTTTCAAAAAAGAAGAAAAATTTATATTTAAGCGAAATCGAATAAATCTTACAATCATCGATATTAAAAATAAACGAAATTGTTTGCCAAAGATTTTGATGATTTTTACGT